AATTTAAAAAATAAGTATAGTAAATAGTAATTGTACCTACGCGCTAATAAACTATGCACATAATTATATATCACCAATGAAAAGCGGAAAGAACGATTGATTATTATTTAAAATATTAGTTTAAAGCAATTTAATTTAAATATGGTACAATACTGAAAATATCCCATAAATAACCAAGTCTATAAAGGTAGTAACTATCGTTTGAAATAGGTTTTCTCAAAATCGTAAAATAAATGCTTAATACCATATAACACGACATTTTTGGTATTTTATTGCTAACTTAAACGCTATCCTCGTATTATAATAAAATGCCTTGTTAGCTGTTACCCTAACTATTTCGACTTTATTAAAACGGTGATTGTCGATTGACATTATATTATATAATACGAACTATGGACTTACCCTAATAAATTCAAATGTATACCATAGTATTATGCGTTAAATATATCCCAAATATGTCAACCTTGAATCTTAATATAAAAACTCTAAAAAAATTTTCATTTATACCTCATCCTCAAATAAATGTGATACATTTTTTTCAGTATTATTTGTTTGACTGCCTGCAATAATATAGTGTACACTGTACCTATCTATAGTTGTAAGTACCTACGTCATACGCGTGATGTTTACTGTAAACGAATTCAACTCAAATATATAATATTATGTGAATTTATGCGATAGAACGTACTATAATCAAAGTTAAATAAATAAATGCGGTGTGTACCCATGATATGTGTAGTGAGAAATATTTTGTTATTTGTTAAGTGTAAAGAAAAGTAGTAAATCGTTAATACTTATAATAATGAAACTACATTGTTTCTTTCGTTAAAAAACTTTCAAAAAATTGCTCCACGAACCTAACCGAAGAGTTTTTATTAAGACGTTTTGTGGGTGTAGTAACTAATAAAGCAGGAAAACACGCACTACACGCATATTAGGTATATATAACATTATTGGGTAATATAAGTTTTTTTTATGTAGACGCTTATTACATTATTTTATTATACCTAAACAGAATGATTTACCAAGCATGGTCTCAACATTTTTCTTCAATAATGCAGTTATTTAAAATATAATTTTTCTAATTTTTAAATATCCTTTAAGACCATATTTTCAAGTTCTTGCTGCAATTTTTTATACTACGTAAGGAGTGTCCTGTAGAGACGCAAACTTCTGTTTTTCAAATAAGAAGATCCTTTTTCAACTGTAAGTCCTACAGTTTATTCAGTTTTTTCTGAAATTGGTCACGTATCAGAATCAAAATTCGTATAATGGAAGTTTTTGAGTTATTCAACTTTGTGTTCTAAGCATAAAGGGTCCATGGTTATGGATATAAAAAATATGAGTGCTACGGTAATTTAAAATATTGTAGTGATTAATATTAATCTATCAGTATTAATAATATGTAAAAATGGCCTAAGTATAATAAATACTACAGATCCACTTTTACGTCTATTTTATATTTATGTAAAACCATTTTTAAGGACTATTATCTTTAATACAAACATTTTAATGAATTTTGAATTAGGTATATCAACAATTTCAAAAAAATTATCCACTAAATAATTTACAGTAAAAAAGGTGGTTCTCTTTTGAAAAACAGAAGTTTGTATCACTACAGGACACTCCTTATGTAATAAAAAAAGTTTAAGAACTTTAAAATATGGTTTATGAGTAAAATTATAAATTCCAAAAATCAGAATTTGAATAAATTCATCATTTAAGGAAAATTGTTGGGTGAGCACGCTTGGTAAATCACCCTGTATTTATATGCCTACTAATAGACCAATATTTTAAAATATTTAAGATTTTATTATACTTCTTAAGTAGCGTTCTGTACTTTAGTGGCGGTACAGACTTCTATTTTTAAAATGCAAATTCCCCTTGTTTAGCGTAAATCATTTAGTGGATAATTATTTTAAAAAATGTATGTATCCAATTCCGAATTCGAACGAGTAGTTTCTTAGTTATTAAAATGTTTATGCTAAGTAATCCTTATAAATGGATAAAATAGAATTTTAAAATATGTATTGTTAAGTATATTTAAAAATTCCAATAAACAGATTTGCAAATGCTGCATTGTTGAAGAAGGGCGTAAGATGTTGTAAGAATAAGCTTGGTGAATCATCTTCCATATATTATATGACTGAATAGAATTAACGTGAAAAATGGTGTCCGCGAACGACGAATTGGCAAACGCATCGCACACCCCCTTTTGTAAAAGAGGCAGGGACCGAAGTTCTGATGAGATCGGTCCATCCCAAACGACTTGCGCACAATACATAAGCACCGCAGCATCACATAGCCGCCGCGGCAGCCGCACCCTATTCACCGACTACAATAACGAAAATGGCGTTCGGAATGTATTATAATATTAATTGTGTTTACACAAACGGTATAGGCATACTTCAAGTGAACCGTAAAGAAAAAAATACGTTTGTCTAAATGTATCTATTCTTCGTAATCAAAATGTCGCTATATGCCTAATAATTTATTATACGTTTAGACATAAGAACTTTTAAAAAAAAAAAAACTCAAGAAAAACCACAAGAAAATAGGAAATAACGGGACACTAGTTTTCGATGAAATAAATTTCTATTTGAAATTTAAATAAAATGTAAAAACTTGCATTTTTCAATAAAATATATTCATTATTCATAATACCATTGATATGATATAGTTTTCAAAATATATCGGTTCTTTGGTGCTATTTATTGATATTTTAAATTGCTTAGTTTTTTTTTCAATTTCAGTATGATAAAATCTTTTTTATTAGGTAAAAAATTTAGAAAATGAATGCAAAGTTCCACACAAGCTGTTCAATATTCATATAGTACTTAATAAAATAATATTAATAATACATAGGCACATTTCAAAGTGTTTGAATTTCATATTTTGACAAAATTAGCAATAATTATATTTATGTATGTATCTAGTTAAACATTTATAATATTTTTAATTTTTATAACTAAGGCTTCAAAATGTAATACAAGGTTTCTCATAAGAAGTTCATACTAAAACCCGAAAATGTATAAAATATATAAACACAATTTGTTCTATAGATAGATACCTATTATATCATGTTCAAATTCAAAAACATTTGATTGGATGTTTATAGACCGCTCAGAATCATTTTCTGTGTACAATATATCATTAAATTAATACTGAACACATCTATTACTAATAGGTGTGGCTATTACAGTTACCCACTCGAGATCTATTAAACAGTTAAAATTGCCTAACTTTTTACTTTATAAGACATCATACGTTTTTTAATTTCAAATTCCTAAGCAGAATATTTACATACATTTGTATATTTTAAGAATTTAAATGATACCTATATGAGAATTTCGAATTGTTAATTGATTATTAGTTAAAACTTATGACTTTAACCTTATTATACCAAGTGAGTATGTATTGATGACTTGAGTGGAGTTGAACAAGGGTACTCTGAAAAATGTCGACTTCACATATCTAAACTGTAAATACTTATAACTTTCTAACTAGGAAATTTGAGGTAATATTACTAATAAAATAAACAAAAATAAGCATTTAAATAAAGTAATAAAAAAATTATCATATGTTTCCACTAATTAATAATTGAGTGTTCAAAAATATGTATACATTTTGACAAACTGTATTTGAAAAAACGATAAAGGTTTGTACTTATAACTAATACAATATTCTTGTAGGCTCATAAAAAGTGACATATTATACTCAACGTCTAACTTTAATACAATAATGACAAACGTGTGGGTACTTACTACTTTCTAATATATTATTATTATTATTTTTTTTTTTTTTATTGATCACTAAGTCCATCAACTATTTTTTTTTTCATTCAACTGTTTTGTTTATTTGTGGGGGAGGGTACTGTAGGTTGACACGCTTGTTTTTGGTTTTTGGCAGAATTTATAATTGGGCACCCGTAGGTTTCTGCTAGCCCGGTCGGGGGATGGCGGCCTCTCTTTCTAGACAATTTCCTGCCCAGAGGGCAGAGAGAAAAACAGCCCGTGGTCGAGATTCGAACCACTCCGTCTCCCTAATATAGTATTATAAACATATATTATCATCATTAATGGGTTGTCTTCTCAAACTCTTGTCGATTAAGTACCTATACGGTAAATACATGCCTACATAATTATTCATTATTATTATTAATTATTATTGGTTATTTAACACATACTATCAAAAAATTAAAAAAGAATTTATAGGGGAAAAGGCAAAATTTGAACCCAACACATAAATATAATTAACTAATCGTTCGAAATTCGAATTTTATACATTGCAATTCTCAGAAACATATTCAGCTCTGGAATATGAAATTTAGAATTTATGCTGTCATACAGAAAAATACAAAAATTAACAATATAAATCATAATAGAATTTGTTTTCAAAAATGTTGTTTTGTAATGACCTCAAATAATGTAAAACAAAACTTTTAATGTGTTTCGATAAAATTAGTGTTTAGTGGCGCTAGGGTGGTCCTTGATGTATAGGTGATGAAATTTTTTTTTCAATTTTTGATCGGGCCACCTCTGGAATTTGTTCAAAACAACAAAATAATGAATTGTGTAAAGTTTCATAAAAATTGATTAACCCTAAGGCGTGCCTCAAGAGGGTTGAAGTTCAAAGAAGGGTGGCTTTTCGATTTTTGCAATTTTGGCTTAAAATATTCAAGATAGGTAAAAAAGTGTTTTAACATAATATTTTTTAAATTGAATATGCTATAAAAAATGTTACTTGTACTTTTTTTATTTAACCACTCATTACAATACAAAATGAAAAAACTCGTATTTAGTATATTTTACATGGTTAGTTCATACATAATTTATTTTGTATTGATAAAATTAACCACATAACCATATAACAACTTTTCTAATAGCTTTTAAATTGGGCACTATTAACATGGTTAAATCGCACTCTTATCTGTGCAATATTAATTAATAATTATACCTACTTGATAGAACCTGTCTATACTTGCACAGACATTGTACATAATGGATAGTGATAGAGACGCAACTCATCTACTTATGGCAACAGCTGAAGCGTTAGGTCAAAATGTCGATAGTTTGATCATTAATCGCTCGTCAATACATAGAGAACGTTCAAAACTACGTAAAGAACAGGCTATAAATCTTCGTCAAGGGTTTCAAATTAATTTGTTTAACACTTCAGTCATACACTGGGACGGAAAATTACTTCCTTCGTTAACTTCAAAAAATCTTGTAGATCGATTACCAGTAATTATTTCAAGTGGAAAACACGAACAACTACTTGGTGTCCTTAAATTGTTAGTAGGAACAGGAGAAGAACAGGCTACAAACGTGTATCAATTAATTGAAGAATGGGGTCTTAATAATTCAGTTATAGCTGTTTGTTGTGACACTACGGCCTCAAATACTGGTAGATTAAAAGGAGCGTGTGTATTATTAGAACAACGTCTAGAAAAAGATTTGTTGTATTTGCTTTGTCGACATCATATTTATGAACTAGTTTTAAGAAGTGTTTTTGAAGAGAAATTTGGTTCCACCTCTGGGCCCAACATACAACTTTTTAAAAAATTCCAAGACAACTGGATCAAAATAGATACTGTAAAATTTAATCCAGGAATAGAAAATGATTATGTTAGCCTAATATTATGCCATAATGTCCAACAACGTGTACTTGATTTCGCCTTAACTCATTCTAAAGAAAAACAGTTTAGAGAGGATTACAGAGAGCTGTTAGAATTGTCCATAATTTTTCTTGGGGGAATTCCACATCGCGGTATATCATTTAGAGTTCCTGGAGCATCTCATCACGCTCGATGGATGTCTAAAGCAATATATTGCTTGAAAATATATATTTTTAGAAAACAATTTCATATGACCAAAATACAAGAAAACGCGTGTCGTGATAGTTGTATTTTTATTATATCCGTTTACATTGAAAAATGGTTTTGTTCACATGTTGCAATTGAAGCTCCATACCAAGATATTTTATTTATTCAGTGTCTGATTAAATATGAAAATATTGATAAAAAAATATCAAATATTGCATTGAAAAAATTTTGTGGTCATTTATGGTATCTAAATCCTGAAGCGGCAGCATTTTCATTTTTTGATTCAAATATTCCTTTGCCAATGAAAATAAAAATGGTAGATTCACTTAAAATTCTTAAAATTCAAGATGAAAATGAAAATATTGTTAAACGTTTTATTAATCCGATAAATAATTTAACATTGTTAAAAAGTTCACAAATTTCTGATTTCATCAACAGTTCATCGATGAAATTTTTTGAAAGGTTTAACATAGATACAGATTTTCTTAACCAAAATCCAGAAGAATGGTACAAAAATGTCAACTATCAAAAAGGAATATCTTTACTTAGTCAAGTTAAAGTTGTAAATGATGCAGCTGAGAGGGGAGTGAAATTAATAAGTGATTACAATGACAAAATTACTAAAGACGAGGAACAAAAACAATTTTTGATGCAGACAGTTTATGACTATCGGCGTAAGTATCCTGATGCGAAACGAAGTACACTTTCAAAAGAAATTTGATAATCGAATACAATTTAAAATTTTAGATTATAAGTTTTAATTTAAATAATATACTTACTATATAATTTTATTTATAAAACTGTTCTCCTATATATGTATTTTTAAAATAAATTCATTGCTTAAAAATAATGTAATGTAAATTTTTTTTTATTAATTACAATAATTTTTGAGATATATGAAAAAAATGAAAATACGCCCTCTGAAATGAAATTTCAACCCTCTTGAGGCACGTCTTAGGGTTATACTATCGTTGCCAAATTACACAAATATTATTTTTTTATAGTTTAGTTTCAAATTTGATCGTGGCGCAGTTAAAATTTTGATCTTTATTTTTAAGGACCACCCCAGTGTTTACCCAATAATCACCGTTTGTACATAATATATAATATAATTTAAAACGTAATAAATAATAACCAATAAGAATAACCATTCACAACGACTAAAACGAGAAGATGGTACCAATTTTAAATATTATGTACAATTATTATGGTTATTTGAACCTGAGATAAACAGACCGTGCAGTTTAATGTCCGATGCTCAGCCTGCTATTTTATTATATATATATAAATAAACACGGAAGTTTTTTTAAAAAAATTTATAGCGATCGGTGTTCACTTTTCAATATTTTATAATATAGTTTAAGTTGGTGGGTACTTACGATAATATTATATTGATCCAAAAGGAGACTTTGTCCTAAAAATTATTTAAACGCAAACCGATGTAAAAAAAGCGCACTTATATAGTTATATATTATTACCTGTATAGGTAGGTACCTACCTAGAAAACGGAATCTGTGGCATTGCCTCACCGACCGCAGTGTACACAATATTATAATATGCATAGGCACATAATGTATATTATTAAGTTATTCAAATAAAGTGAAATTCACGCTTAAAACGTCGTCGTTTCTATAAACTACGGCTGTCAGAGGCGTTATTTCCGTTGTACCTACACAAGGTATAATATTATTATGTAGGTACATTTGCATTTGCGCAATAAAAATCGTTAACTAGTTATACTATATAAGTAGTAGGTACAATGGTTGACCTGTACAACATTGATCTTTTGTTTTGGACTGTGACAGTGGAGCGACAATTCTCAATAATTCAATTTATTATGTTTTATTCATTTTGTCTTTGTTATCAACTACAAGCATATCAATCACAAAGTTGCTTATTAGTTACCAACTAAATCGCCTACAATAATTAATACGTATCATTTGACATTTTTCAGTTACCTACTATATCACATATAGGAATTACAGGCTTCGAGTACACACTATTATTTTATTATATTATTGAATTTACCAACATAAAATATACTTATACGTTTGACACTTTTCTGCCATGTTCAAAATATTATATAGTCGCTATAATAATATATAATATGTTTTGTCAAGCATGCTTATACCCATATTAATTTAAATTCGGTTTTTTTGTAAATTATCGGAAAATTTACCAAAAAAAAATTTACCGTAAAATTCCCATCAAATTTAAGGTACATAATTTAAATTTTTAATGACATAGACATTTTTTTTAATTTTAATAATATTTTAATTTGATTTTAATCATTTCAATAATTTCAGTTTTTAATCATAAACACATTACACACCCACACCCATAAAACGATCCAATTTTAATCATACCCGTGGAATTCACGGATAGTACCAGGTCTGACAAAATGAGAGGATAAATAGATTGATAAAATACAGCATCCCAGGATATTAAAAAAAGGTCGCCCAAACGCGTTATGCAAAATGATTGCCCACATCATTGCAATTTTTAAAAATTTTCTGAAACACAATCCGCCTTTTTGAAAATGGTTAGATATGTTTGAATTCAAATTCAAATGAGTAGTTTTTATATTATTTAACTTTGGGTACTAAAGATAATAGGCCCATGATAATAAGTTTGATCTGATGATTAGACAATTATAATATTTGATGATTAATATTTTATAATTTATAAACATTTTCCCGAGTTAAATAAATATTAGATTTAATATTTTTTTAATGCCATTTTTAAGGATTATCATCCTTACCTAGTTGTTATACTTTAATAACTCACAAACTAATCGTTTGAGTTTTGATTTAGATACAGGCGATACAGCAACATTTTCAAAAAAGATCATCTGATTAACAATTTATTTACAATTACGATCTACCGTGGTACTATGTGGTAGGTTCAAATTTGAAAATAGTTTGTATCAACACAGAACACTTAAATTCTTAAATGGTATACAAATCTAAAAATATGGTCAAGTTTACGTCTAATAAATTCCGAAACGATAGAGGGCATATAAATTATAAATCACCTTATATTTTATTAAAATGCCACACAGCGGTTAGTTTATCATTCACCATCAACGAGGCTACAAAAAAAAAACAAAAGATCAACACCGAAAAACTTTAAAAACCGTCTTCAAGTCGTTAAGTAAAGGAGGTATTAAATAAAATATAATATACCTACTTAAATAAAGTTTTAAACCAAACGCGTGCCTTTTTTATCGATAAAATTTTAAAACTTTTAAAAATAGTGCTCAAACCTCTAGTTATGGAAAACTTATTTATAAAAAAACAAACTCTTCCCCAGATAACAATAATATTGTAATAAGCCCCCTTAATATTATTATTCAATATTTTTTACTCAACTTATATATAGGCATAAATCGTAAAAACGTTTTTCTTAAATTGTATTATGATACATATTATAATAGGTATATGAAATTAACAGTTTTTGTAAAACTGAATACCATTTCGAACATAGTAAACGTCTTAAACCAACTGAATAAAATCCTTTTTCAAAAATTGCATGCGTCTAACCAAAGTCCTACAGTAATAATTGTAACAATTATTGTCCAGGTGAATTCATTTTGAATTCATTTGTTTTGAGTGGCTTGGAAACAATAGTCATATTATATATTCATCGATATATTCCTGCACGTACAGATGTGCACTGATTAAAAATAAACTAAAGATAATTTAGTTGTCACACAATGACAATCCACCCAAAATACTGTCAATTATATTATTTGCTTATAAATAGAATAAGTGAGTTACTATATTATTCTCCTCCTAACACGGCCGATTGCATGCAGGACACAGGTCCCCTTAACTATATTATGCAACCATAACTATAGTTAGTATTATGTACTATAATTTATTATACTATCCAGTGTATTCTGGTTCTGCGGAATTCAAGAATTTTGACGAAATTAATAATATTTAAACGAAAAAATAAACGATTTTAGTTATTATGTTGTAATTTAAAAAGCGGGTAAGTGGATGTCGCTCTGCTGTATAGTAGGTTACAAGTGGGTCATTGTATAATGGATTGTATTAAACTTGAATTCAATGATATAATATCATTGTATAAGAAAAACGATTCTGAGCTGAGACGGTTTGTCAGTCTGGATATTTTATATAGTTATTATTTATTATATCATGTAAGTTGAATTAATATTATAATTTTTTATTCGTTTCTATGGTGATAAACAAAGCGTTAGAAATTAAAATCCAATTTTAAATGGTTTTTCGTAATTTTTCGGTGGTTTTTCCCGTGGCATTATATAACTATTGAGAAAATCGAAAAATGACCTTTCTAAAGTACCATCTTGGTCCAATTTGCTAAAATATAAGGTACTATATGTTGAAATCAAAGCACTCCTTCTGGTAGAAATTTTGTATACAAGATATAAAAAAAAAAAATTAAAAAATAAAAATAAACACCATTGTAAAACCACTAGCTTCCTCGCTCCGCTCAGAATCTAAAAATGTAATCATAGAAATTTGAATTATTTTGCATATTTATTTTTCCTATACTCAATGATATTTTCAAAATATTTGACTAATTTCGAGCATTAGGTAATCTATTCACACAAAATTAGTTCAACTTACCATAATAATATTACTAATGGAAAAATAAGTTACAAAAATAAAATTCTAAAAAATAGTGATTGACACAATATTTTAGCTGAAAATAGTTTTTGGTATGCTTTGTATTATTAATCATTTAATTCTAATAAATTAAACACCATTATAGTAATATACTCAATGAGATAGGCACACCCGAAGCCAGACTGCATATACCAGAGAGATTTCCACGATTTTATTTTTAACTGATGCTATTCGCAAAGATATTTAAATGCATTTTATTAAAATTTACAGCTATTTAGCATTCAACGAGTCTATACTCTATACGAATATATAATATAATATCGGTACTTATAAGTACTTTACCTGCAGCTACTATATTGAACTCTAACCGTGGTTTATCGCAGTGTCGCGGTCGGTGGCTGCGTTAATCGTGTCATATAATATAATACATATATACCAATAAATATAATAATATTGTATGAAATAATAATATAAAATAACGGAAGTTTGACTTGTAAAAAGAAAACTGCTTTTCAAACGAACCACCATAACGAGAAGGTATCTTTATTATAATATAGATAAATATTATTGATATTAACTTTTTATAAATTATATACTACCGTATAATCGTTAAAAATCATTTGTACATCGACGTATATAAGATACATTTTGCATATTATTATAATGACTTATTCAAAGACTTTGAATCAAAGTCCAAGAAGAAAACGCTATTATCCAATATAATATATTATATAATATTATATTATACGGTATGCATACTGTCAGTATTGTCATACAATATTTACTGTCATAAGTCATAACTATTACTGTACTGCGGGTTACCTTAATAGTTCATACCCATGGGCGGATAGGCCTATCGGGAAATCGGGATTTTCCCGGTAGGCCCCCATCAATATTATGCTCTGAGGCCCCAACCCCGAAAAAAAAATTAATTTTTATGAGACTGTAAAATAATTCCGGCTGGCGGCTGCGTATTTGTAATTTTTGTATATACCATTAGCTATTAGGGGCCTCTGTGTAATACGCGTTGATACCCGTATAAATGTATAATATGTACCTATTTTGTTGTATTTACTATAATGCTACTAAAACTAAATAATGTATA